CAGACAGAAAGACAGACAGACAGACAGACAGACAGACAGACAGACAGACAGACAGACAGACAGACAGACAGACAGACAGACAGACAGACAGACACCAGGTCGTTTGCGTGAGCACTGGGTAGGTAGGTATAGCATTATCAAAGCAGAAAAGCACGCTAAAATAAAGGAGGAAGGGAATGCAAACATACCTTATTGGACGGCCGTACAACCATTATAAGCTTCTGGAGGACTCTAGTCGCACGAGCTACACATCAACAATAAAAACAACAACTTATTTAGAAAATGTTCTACTGTACTACATACACGTCGAAAGCTTAGAAGCGCAAAAAGGGCATACTGGCTCTAGCTGCCAACCTACTCTGCGAAAAATCTACCAACCATTACTGAAAAGAGCTCTACTCTTTCTCTAGCTGAATAAATGAGTTTTTTAAGAATCATGCAGATGGGTAATCTCCCTCTTGTACTCACCGACGCCGCGCTGGAAAGACTTGGGTTTGTTTTTCCAGCTGACGAATACAAAGTACACCGGTACGCTTGAGAGGATCATCAGGGTGCCGTACACTGCGACAAGCAAGAGAGTGTTGTTAGACTAAACATCCCCCGAAACAAAGTAGTAGGTTCTCGGGGAGGGGGGGGGGGGCACGCCAAAATACTCACAGGTCTCGTAGGGGCTGGCGAACATGGGCACGACGGTGACGAACACGGAGGCAATGATGTAGATGATGGGGAAGAAGAGGTTCACCTTGATGGGCCGAGCCAGGTCGGGCTGTTTCCAGCGCAGCCACGGCAGGCACAGCACCGCCACGCCAATGCTCAGCTAGACAAAGTAATAAGGGTGCTGCGCGTTAGCAAGATCCGCTCCGATCTTCCACTTCCGCTCACTGAGCCAACGCATAAGTACGCCAGGTCGTCTCACCCAGGTGGCGAAGCCGACGTAGTTGATGAGGGCGAAGATGTCGGACACGGTGAGGTAAAGCAGGGACAGCAGGGCCTGAAAAGAGAAACCCCCCAAAGGCCGCCGTCATTTTTTCGCACTTTACCAGGAACAACGACAGTACTTAGTGGCCGCCGACGCGGAGAGCGCGGGCGCGCGAAACACCGGACGCACTGTTTGTGCCGGCCGCGGCTAACCCTGGCTAACCGCCCCAGTACTTGACACTTACGATGGTCAGCACGGCCGGCGTGGGCGTCAGCCGCTGGATCTGAATCATGGTGAGGATCTCGGGCATCTGACCCTCGCACGCCCCGGCGTAGAACAGCCTGTGGCGGTCAGACGAACCGTGTGAATCATTTAAAGTTACACGCGTGCTCGAAATAAAAGAGCTAGCTAAAATAGCTAACGCATTTCGCTAATATGGCCCTGGATTACAATATGTTGTTAGCGAAGAGAGCTATCATATTAGCTTTCACAGCTAGCTGCTTTATTTTCTAGACAGCTATTATGGTTATGGTTTAGCTATCTTAGCCAATAATTAGCTAGGCGAGCTAACAGTCTAATCCAAGGTCATATTAGCGAGTGCATTAGCTGATTTAGCTAATTCATTTTTATTTTTTTTCGTGTGTCGTTCAATGTTTGGGTACACACCTCGACGACGTGAGCAGGATGCCGTTGACGGCGCCGAAGGTGGACATGGCGACGAACACGGGGATGATCCAGGCCATACTGCCGTACAGCCGGTTGGCAAAGGTCTGGAAGCCGAATGTGAAAGCGTCACACATACACTCGCACGCAAATGCAACCACCACTGGTTTCCCCCCGCGGTCACCCCGTCTAACTCACCACGGCGACGGCCTCCGACTTGAGGACATCGGCAGGCGAGAGTGTGGTGTAGAAGGCGGCGTTCGCAAAGACGTATACGATGGTGACGAGAAGGCAGGAGATGCCGATGGCTCGGGGCAGGTTTCTGTCAACAAAAAAAGTAAATAATAAGTAACAATTAATTAGCAGCTTCGCCGTAGTACAGCGGGTGCGCATTCGCTCGCGTACTCACTTCACTGGGTCCTTAAGCTCTTCGATGATGAAGTTGAGGTAGTTCCTGGAAAAGTCGAAATCAACATGCGTTTAATTGAGAAAAACATGCAGGTATAGAAGGTGTAGGTAGGTTTCCCCTCGGTAGATACGCACCAGCCGTTGTACGCGAACAGACCCGAGTAGAAGGAGAGCGCGATGTTGGTCACCTCGTGCTTGCTGTCCTTGAAGGTGAAGTGCTCGGTGTGGCCCGTGAAGAGCTGGTACGCGCCCGTGATGATGATGATGAAGAGCGCCAGCAGCTTGGCGTACGTGAAGGTGTCCTGCACCTTGGTGGCCCAGCCCACGTCCCAGCAGTTGACGAACGTCAGCACCACTGCAGAGAGAGAAATTGAAATTGAAATAATTTTCTTTGAAGACTTCATACACAAAGGCTAAGAAGCCCCACTGCAGTATGCAGTCCGCTCTCTCTATCACAGTATTAGAATTAATAAACAATATGAACAAATGTTAGAAATATTTAATTAGAATTTTTTTTAAAGAAAGATGGAGAGGCGGGGGTAATGAGACGAGCAGGTATCGCGAGCCGAGGCAACGAGCGACAATTACTTGTTTCGGCGAAGCCGCCGGGCCGAAGGAGGGGGGGGGGTATGTCGCGAATTGAGGAGCTCTGCTCGCCGGCTCACGGCTGTGCTGAAAGGGGAAAAGGGGGAGGCAGGCGGGGCTCATTTGAGGAAATCCTCTTTCAGGCAGAAATAGAGACGGACCAGGCCCCAGGCCGGGCCAGCCAATCAGTTGGACTTAATGCCCAGCTGTCCTCTGTCCTCTGCTCCTCCGTCTGACTACTTTGTGTGTCGCCACGCCACTCCCGATAAAAGAGCAGGCATCAGCCAAAAGAAGCAACTTTTTAAAAAAAGTCATCGGCCGACGTTTGTTGTTGTTTTTCTTGACAGGGTATTCGCCTTTTTCGCTGCACTCCGAACCCGCTGCAGTCGTATACACTTTCGCTTTGTTTCCCAGGAATCTCTCGCAAGCGCTGACGCGTATTTCATCATTATATCGAGTTGTGGTGTTGTAGACGCGGAGCGGAGCGCTCCAGTCGTTGTCGATCACACACACACACGCACACACATGCACGCACGCACGCGAGCACGCACACGCACTCACGCACGCATGCACGCTCTGCGCGACCTATCGACGGCCGGTTAGCCCAAGCCGCTCTGCTGCTATGAAAAGATGATAGCCGCGCCGCTCGACCGCCGCCGAAGGACGGGGAGCGGCCCACCCTCCAGTGCACCTGCCGCTGGAGGAGGCCCTCTAGTCCGCCCTTGTCGCGGGGCCTAGAGGTCCCGCCCTGGCGGTCGCCGCCGGCCCAGCTGACCGCATGCGGCCCGAGCGCTCCGTCCGGTCCTGCCCGGCCGGCCGGGTTACCCCACTCGGTAATCACTGCTCTGCACTTACCGCCGCCGGGCCTATGGTGGCGGGTGCGGGTTCGAGTCCCGGTCCCCTCCATGCCTCCCTGGTAGCCTACCGGCCTTGAGGCGCACAATGGGGAGTCTCGCACCGGGCCTGGCCGGGTTCTAGCTGGGGCCTAGAAGGGGCCTAGCCGGGGTCTAGAGGGGGCCTAGACTACAGAGGGCCTTTTTCGCGTAGTGAGGATCAGGAGAAGGGGGCACAAGGGGATTGGGGGGGATTGGGGACTCCTTTTCCCATGCGGTCATTTTCAGCGGAGCGGAGAAGATTGGTGCCTACGAAGCTACCGCCGGGCTGCTGCTAGTCCGGGCCGACGCACGCCACTCTCACACACACAGCCCCGGTCATGCACCTCATGGCCTACCAAACAATATAGTTTTGGTTGGAGCGTTCGCTCTATTCGTGATGAAGGGAGGGGTAGCGGGGGCGTGTAAGGGGCGCCATGGCACCGAACGGGGACGGGAAAGGGGAAAAGGGGGGGGGGCATCGCGATGTCCTCGCTAACGCGTGTCCCGTGTATCTGCCGCCGGCATCGCCCGCGGGGGCCGCAGCGTCAGCCGCGCGCAGGTTACCCCGGTCCGACCACGCCGCGGGCACTTGGCCGGCCGCGCGGGCCGCTGCTGTGGCTGGACCGAGTGTCGCGCGCCTCCCTAGTGTAGGGAGGGCTTGTGCTTGTCCGCGCGCAAGCGGCACGAGGACGCGCGGCGCAAATGTACATGTGACGCTGTCCGGTCCGTGGCCTCCTACGGGGTGCTCGAGACACGCTGATGTGACGACGGCGTCCTCGTCGGCGCCAGCTCTCCCCCCGGGCGCGCGCCTTTCGGGCCTCGGGCCGAGAGGTCTCTCTTCACCACCTGCGCGGCCACACGGCCTAACTCCCACCTCCTAGGCTCTGCGGCCGCTGACCGCCGGCGGCCGACCAGACTCCAAGTCTACCTCGCTCCCGCCTTCAACTACCCTCGGTCTCCCACTCTTCAGTAAATTTGCAATCTCAGTGCAATGCCCTGCAGTCGCACGTTGTACAGCGAAAATGCCATACGGCGCTGTGCGTCACTTTGAAGTTCGGACTTTCGGCCGGTCCAGCGCAGTTGCTGGGCCCCTGCCGGCCCCTGCGTACACCACACCCCGCCCTAGTGGCTTTATCTCCGAACGGGCGGCCTTGGTGCGGAAGTGAGGTCATGGGTGAGTCGTGCCGAGCATCACGGGGCGGAGCGGGGTGGGGCGGGGCGAGGTTGGATGGGGCG